AAAGAAAAGAAAAATTGCTATAGCCACTATGGAGAACAGTGCTGCAGTTCCTCAAAAAACTAAAAATAGATATGATGATATGATCTGACAATTTCCCCAGTGGTTACATTTAAAAGAAAGAAAATCAATATGTTAAAAAGACATCTCCATTCTGATGTTTACTGCAGCACTATTCACAATAGCCAGAATAAAAAATCAACCTAAGTATCTATCGGTGGATGAATGGAGAAAATGTGGTATATACACATAATGGAATATTATACAGCCATAAAAAAGAATGAGGTCCTATCATTTGCAGCAACATGAATGGATTTGGAGATCATTCTGTTAAGTGAAATAAGCCAGGCACAGAAAGAGAAAGATCTCATGTTCTCACTCATATGTGGGAATTTAGAATGTGGATCTCATGAAATTAGAGAGTAAACTGGTGGTTAACAGAGGCTGGGAAGGGGCAGCGGGGCAGGAGAATGAAGAAAAGTTGATTAATAGGTACACATACGCAGTTTGATAGAAGAAATAAGACCCAGTGTTTCATAGACCATTGGAGTGACTATAGGTTACCATAATCTATTGTATATTTCAAAATAGCTAGAAGAGAAGAATTTGAATTTTTCTAGCATAAAGAAATGACAGTATTTAAGATGATGGATATCCCAAGTACACTGATTTGATCTTAACAAATTACATGAATGTGTTAAATTATCATGTGTGCCCTGAAACTATGCACATCTATTATTCATCAATTTTTAAAAACAAAAACTTGATCATCTGCAAAGACTCTGTTTCCCAATAAGGTCTCATTCACAGGTCTTGGTGGTAAAGACTTCAACACCTTTTGGGAGGTACAGTTCAACCCATGACACACATTTGCACATAATAGAGTGGTTAACAGCTCCAGATCCTCCTTAATCAGATCAAATCCCAGCTCCACCACTTACAGGCTGATGGCCTGTGACAAGTCACTTCACGTCTCTGAGTTTTGGTTTCCTCATCTGTAAAATGGGTTTCATAACTCTACCTACCTCTTGGGGCATAAAAGGGGCATCAAAGGATTCAACAAAATCATGTACTTGTTCAACCAATGTCGATGGCACTCCTGTGGCCTGCCAGCATCAGACACTGGGGCTGTAGCTGTGAACAAAAAACAAATCCCTGCCCCCATGGAGCTTACTGAGGACAAAGGGGCTGCAGAGACAGTTTATATTTTTTAAAATAGGCTGGGTATAGTGGCTCATGCCTGTAATCCCAAAGCTTTGAGAGGCTGAGGCAGGACGATTGCCTGAGGCCAGGAGTTCGAGTCCAGCCTGGACAACATGGTGAAACCCCATCTCTAACAGAAATATAGAAAGTTAGCTGGGCATGGTGGTACATGCCTGTAGTCCCAGCTACTTGGGGGGCTGAGGCAGGAGAATCTCTTGAGCCCAGGAGGCAGAGGTTGCAGGGAGCCGAGATCGTGCCACTGCACTCCAGCCTGGGTGACAAAGTGAGACCCCACCTCCAATAAATAAAGAAAGAAACAAACAAGAAAAATATCTAGGCTAGCAAAGGGCAAAGAGTGAGATTATTTCTAAGTGCATCATTTATGGCTGAAAAATTTTAAAATAATGCAAGTGATAGCCTCAGCAAAACATCTGCATGAAGTGAAAGAGGTGGCTGTTAAGTGAATCCCCATAAAAAGAGAGGGGAAAAAAAAGATCTGTAACAATGAGATCATCCTAACTCACGGAATGCTCATAGCATGGTGCTTGGCACCTGGTAATCTTCTGCTGCTCATGATTATAACTCTCCCGAAAAAGGAAGTCGCAGGAAGCATATCCACTCCATGCCAGTGTGAAGCCCAGCCAGGCCAGCCAT